CATCAATACCATAAGTTCGTGACATCCCACTAAAACATAAGGAGCCGTAATTAAACAAAATGTTCTGCCCTACAGACATGGGTGGATTGAAGTTATCTCCCCACCTTCATGTTTGCTGGTCAGTAACGCCACCCTCCCTCCTTTTGTGATGTTAGGCTCTCTTACGTTTGTGGTAAGTATGAATACTGCTTTAATCAAAGCCCATAGTTGGAATACACTGTCTCTACTAGGTCCATGTTACAAGCAAATCAGATAGTTGAAAAGTTTTTTTTGGGGGGTTAGATGTCCATATAGTATATCACACTACTATGAAAATAACTAATGGTTTAAAGAAGTAAGGACTAATAGCAAATCAAAAGATATGAGAGGGTAGAAAATTGTAGAAAGAAAAAAAAGGATTTCAGGGTAAGACAAATAAAACATTGAGAAACTCACAAGACTTTGTGGGCAAATTTTGAGCTTTGTGTGATCGGCCTTAGTAGATCAGCATCCATAAGGTTGAGCTATCTGTCTAATTGCAGTAGAAAGAAAAAAGCATGACTTTTAGGAAGAATAATGTACATTTAACCTGTAGAGATTTGGGGAGTGAAAGCTAGGGTTAGGAGCATGAAGTCATGATTAATAAACAATGAATAATAGGAAACGATAGGCCATATATTCTGTGATTTGGTTATATTCATATTAGTAACAGTCGAACGTGTTATAATTTTGAATACTGAGAATGATTTCGGACCTAACTTATTCTCTCTCTTTCTTCCCATTAGATCGGGACACCTCAGAGGACATAGCAGGCGAGTAGAAAAGCCAAGAACGAACAAAATACCCGTGGCATACAGGTTTTCACACCGAGACATCAATACTTGGAACCTGCTGCCTGAAGCAGTGGTCTACGCACCTTCAAATGGCTCTTTCAAGAGAAGACTGGACACTCACAGAGCCACACCAGAAAAGGAATAACATAGGCCGTAGGTCTTCTGTCCAAACTACACAAATCTTAATCTGAATCTGATTTTGAACAAGTGAGTGAGGGCTATCGACCATCTACGGGAATTATAATTCAGAGTATGTGTAATCGGATGATAGTGGTTGTTGATTGAACTGCTCATTCAGTTGATAGCGGACACGTGTAACGAGTGGAAGCTAATGAAGTAAGTGATTTTAATTTTAGTTCTGTTTTGTGTTTAACTAAATTTTATGGTGTAGATAATTGTGAACTTGAGACAGGTAGTCGCAATTTGGACACCAATGATTCCCTGAATAATGATAACTCTGTAGATAAATGCTGATTTCAGATAAGAGGAGAAAGCGAGAATGAGAATTTTGAACAATTGAGAGGATGTGACAATTACAATGAACTAAGAGCACATTATAGACACGTGGACAGATAAACAGTCTGTGTCAGTTGTTGGAACAATGGAACAATATAAATACTGTACAGTTAAATGTTTTGTGTTGTCTTTTAATCTGTCATAATTATCCAATACAGTTTTGTTGTGACTAATTAGAATTGTACTTGTTGATTGGGTGTTGTGGAAGTTCTAGGCTATTTGAGATTGTTGGTAATTCGTTAGACCGTTTCGAATCCACAGACAATCATGTTAGTAATGAAAGTGAATAAAAGCGAAATACTTATTGAATTCCAGTAGAAATAACTAAAGTTTGATGAATATTTATCCGTGTCACGTTCGAATTTGTTGGTTTAGCAGTGGGCATGAATTAGTTTTTATGTGGATGTGGGATTTCACCTGTTCTTACTTGACTAATTGACATCCAGTGTCGGATACTGGATCAACTGAGTACGCTAACCCCTACGTCTTTAAATAATCAAAGCTGAGACCAATGTAAACTGTTGGATATAGCCCACCAATTGCTTAATCGTGGACCAAAGCAGAGAAGCATATTAACTATTCAGTATTTTAAGTCACTAAAATAAGTACGAACGAACCCTGATGTTGTCTTGTTAAAGCCTGATAAAAGATCCGGCGTGGTTGTCAAGAACAAATGTGAATGTAAAGGTAAGACATTATCGATTCTCAGTGATGAAAGTAAATTTATGCCTGATGGTGAATTTGCAGGTATTAGCAAAGTAGAGGGAAGAATAAATCCAAACATAGTGAAGCTGCTACACATGAAAATTATTGGTAGGGAGGAATTTAATTTCCTGGAACCTATTGGTTCTGAGTATGGTCATTTACATGGATTACGTAAAATGCACAAACCAAACGTTTGTTTACGCCCAATTTTATCAGTGCGTCGATCACCTACACATAACCGAGCTAAATTACTGGATGCTGTTGGAACACGTTTATATAAGTATTCTGTGAACGATTCTTTTGACTTGGTCGATCATTTATGTGATATTAATATCAAGAGAAAGACAATGTGTTCATTTGACGTGAATTCCCTGTTCACAAATATACCTCTGAAAACGACTATTGATATATTATGTGACCACACTTCTTTGAACAGCCTTGAAAAATTACCTGTTCCTTTAAAAATTCTTAAAGATTTAGCACTATTATGTACTGACAACGTCCAGTTCATATTTGGAGGTGAATAGTTTTGCCAGATCGACTGGTTGCTTTTGTGGCGGACCAGACAGATATGAACGCGAAAATTATAAACAAAGTTACTAAAGATCAATAGTATTATTAATATACACTTTTTGAAGGTTGTAAGGTTTTTTCACGTGGTATTATTTTATTTTCCTATTAGTTTTTAAAGCAATTAGTCCCTTTTATAAATTTCGATAGAACAATGAGAAGACGGAGTTGATCTGAAAAATGTGATGTATTTGCGCTATACATTTCGAACAATCTGGTCACACATATACTTGTCAAGGTATTTTTATATGAAAATTAATAAAGGTCAAACAAATAAAAGTACAATTAAAATAACTAAGGGGAGAGAAAGAATAAGAAATTGTCGCGTTATCCTAGGCCATAGAATGACTTAAGGATTACCAAGGTAAATTCAAGGTTACGACAAATTGTTTTTGTACACATAAGGGGGGTTTAAATTTACGAATAGCTAAGGCTTCAATAAACTTAAGAATTCGACCTTGACAATTTCTATAAAACGTTCTAAATGCTGTATTAATGTTAATTTTGTGCCCCGTCTCAATTATATGTTTCGCTATCGATGAACTTGGTTTTCTACCTTCTACATTGATCGGATCATTTGACACACACTGATTTTGAAGCCATCTGGGCACATGTTCATTGACCCTTGATTGCATTGTTCGATTACTCCTCCCTATGTATGTGTGTCCACACAAACATGTAAATTGGTAAATACAATGGGATGTGACGTAATCATTAGTGCATTGTTTGGGTCAATTAGGAATCATGGCCTTAGACTTTTCAATCACTACCAACTGAGCAGCATAATATGTATTCTCGATAGCTGCTTTCAATCTCTGCCTCAAAACTATACTGTTAGATTCGCCTCTATATGGTAGATTGATATAAACCTTTTTCTTTGGCACTGAATAAATTAGAGGTCTTGGCATTAACTGACTTTTGCACCTATTAATAAACTTGAGTGGATAACCATTTGCTATTAAAGTGTCAGTCAGTAACTTTTCATCTTTTTCCACCATACCAGAGGTACATATTCTTCGAGTCCTCTTAAAGAGGCACTTAACTAGACTTCTCTTGTATTGCAATGGACAGAAGCTATGGAAATTTAAGTATTGTCCCGTCCAAGTTGGTTTCCTGTACACGGACCGTCTAATAGTGCCATCATCCCTTCGACTTATGAGTATGTCTAGAAAGGCTAGTTGGCCATTACTTTCTGATTCATGTGTCATCACAATATCGTTCTGAACACCATTGAGTTTATCCAGTAATCGGTAAACATCAAAATCCTTATCACATATAATTAGAATATCATCCATATATCTTCTATATAGAGTTGTCTCACCAATGAGGTCGCTCGTCATATTTTCCACATATGACATGAATACCTCAGCTAAGAGAGGCCCTAAAGGGCTACCCATAGCTACACCATCAACTTGTCGAAAATATTCACCATCAAACGTAAATTGAACATTAGCTGTACATAATAAAAGTAATTCTTTCAAAAATGGTAACGGAATAGGAAAAAGAGGAAAGTTTTTTGAAATATAGTCACAAAGGAAATCCACCGTCTTTGTTAATGGTACATTCGTGAAGAGGGAGTTTACATCAAATGAATGCAAAGATTTATTTTTAATATTAATGTCACCAAGAAAGTCAATTAGTTCAAATGTATCTTTTAAAGAGAACTTACATAGATTAGTACGAATTGGGTTTAACAGTTTTACTAACCATTTAGCTAGCTCGTGTGTGGGAAAACCACGCATAGACAAAATTGGTCGTAATGGAATATTAGGTTTATGAATTTTAGGTAATCCATATAAATTCGGGAGAACTGAACCCGACGGTTTTAGTATCTTAAACTCCTCGTTGTTTATGACGTTCATTTTAAGAAGCTTTAATAGATTGGACTTCACTCTGGATTCCAATTTTCTAATATTAATATTAGAAGAAACGTCCTGTAAGAATTTACTTTGATCACCTAGTATAGACAACATTTTGTCTTTATATTCACATTTATTGATAACGACCACCCCAGAACCTTTGTCAGGTCTGAGGATCACAATATCTGACCTACTTTGGAGGTTTTTTAACGCAGCGAAATGTTTAGGAGTCAAAATACTCCTTTGTCTGACTTGAGATCCGTGAAAGTGGTGGGCAACGTCAACCAATTTCACCTTTAACCAATTTTTCTTATCCAGGGTGGTTGGGACAAGAGGGTTCAACTGATCATAAAGATTTTCAAATTGAGCATCTATCGACAGATCAGAAATCTTCGTATGTGCAACGGAAAAATTAAATCCGAGTGATAGAGCTTCTTTCTCGAATACAGAAAGGCGTTTGAAACGAACGGTACTGAGTTCGAGTCCCAGAGTGAACATCAACTCTGAGATGCAGGTACATCCAGCTGACGAGTCCCAAACAGGACGAAACGCGCGTCCTGGATTCCACTGCTAGCCACTATCCATCTTTGCTTATAATGCTTGTAAATTTAGGCAATATCGAGGCATACGCACAGTATGCACATATGCCAATAAGAGACTGATCAATTTCAGTCCAAAACATCAATGGGAAAATTCAAGTAAAACAATGTCAAGAGAAAGCCTAACAGTTGATAAATTTGATACATATTTATCCGGGTTAAATTGAAATAAATTTCCATCATTATCATACATAAGAGATTTACTCAGCTTTTGTTTAGTAGTATGATTTGTTTGAGCAACCACAGTACTGCAAAATTCATAAATTTAATACGACATACCAGAGAGAGATTAGATAATATACATGATGCCTGAGTATGAAGTTCAATTAGTTTTAAGGCAGAGATTGAAAGCAGCCATCGAGAATACGTATTGTGCTGCTCAGTTGGTAGTGATTGAAAAGTCTAAGGCCATGATTCCTAATAGACCCAAACAATGCACTAATGATTACGTCACATCTCATTGTATTTACCAATTTACATGTTTGTGTGGACACACATACATAGGGAGGAGTAATCGAACAATGCAATCAAGGGTCAATGAACATGTGCCCAGATGGCTTCAAAATCAGTGTGTGTCAAATGATCCGATTAATGTAGGAGGTAGAAAACCAAGTTCATCGATAGCAAAACACATAATTGAGACGGGACACAAAATTAACATCAATACAGCATTTAGAACGTTGTATAGAAATTGTCAAGGTCGAATTCTTAAGTTTATTGAAGCCTTAGCTATTCGTAAATTTAAACCCCCCTTATGTGTACAAAAACAATTTGTCGTAACCTTGAATTTACCTTGGTAATCCTTAAGTCATTCTATGGCCTAGGATAACGCGACAAATTCTTATTCTTTCTCTCCCCTTAGTTATTTTAATTGTACTTTTATTTGTTTGACCTTTATTAATTTTCATATAAAAATGCCTTGACAAGTATATGTGTGACCAGATTGTTCGAAATGTATAGCGCAAATACATCACATCTTTCAGATCAACTCCGTCTTCTTATTGTTCTATTAGTTTTTCTCTTTAATTTAACACTTAATAGCGATAAATAGTTCGTCACTGATAGGGTTCTATCAACTTGACACCTTATTTAGGAACTCAACGTCATAAATTAATCTTCCAAATTTTCACGCTATCTCTATCACCAATTAACGTTAATATATTTCGATAATGATATTAGAAGACGAAGATTATCAGAACTATGTGATATATTAGCGCAATACATTTCGAACAATCTGGTCACACATATACTTGTTAAGAGCATTTATATATAAAAATAAAAGGTCAACTAGACAGGAAACGGGGTAAGAGGAGATAAGGATAATGATAAGAGTAATAATAATAACAAAGCGAAACCTAATCACTCTGGATAATAAGTCAATATTACCAGGGTAGGTTTAAGGTAAGAACAAACTGTTTTTGAACACATAAAGGGGGTTTAAATTTTCGTATGGCTAAGGCTTCAATGAACCTTAGTATACGCCCTTTTACACTTTTATACAGCACTACAAAAGCTGAATTTAGATCAATCTTGTGACCTGTTTCAATTATATGTTTAGCAATAGAGGATGATGGATGTTTATCCTCTGCTCTTGTTGGGTCACTTGATTGTATTTGATTCTGAAGCCATTTGGGTACATGTTCACTCACCCTAATGTTGAGATCACGATTACTCCTCCCTATGTATGTGTGACCACACACACATTTAAATTGGTAAACACAGTGGGATGTGACGCAATCGTTTCCATGTACTTTAGGTTTTGAATGAACAAGGTGCATGCTTCATTCAAAACCTAAAGTACATGGAAACGATTGCGTCACATCCCACTGTGTTTACCAATTTAAATGTGTGTGTGGTCACACATACATAGGGAGGAGTAATCGTGATCTCAACATTAGGGTGAGTGAACATGTACCCAAATGGCTTCAGAATCAAATACAATCAAGTGACCCAACAAGAGCAGAGGATAAACATCCATCATCCTCTATTGCTAAACATATAATTGAAACAGGTCACAAGATTGATCTAAATTCAGCTTTTGTAGTGCTGTATAAAAGTGTAAAAGGGCGTATACTAAGGTTCATTGAAGCCTTAGCCATACGAAAATTTAAACCCCCTTTATGTGTTCAAAAACAGTTTGTTCTTACCTTAAACCTACCCTGGTAATATTGACTTATTATCCAGAGTGATTAGGTTTCTCTTTGTTATTATTATTACTCTTATCATTATCCTTATCTCCTCTTACCCCGTTTCCTGTCTAGTTGACCTTTTATTTTTATATATAAATGCTCTTAACAAGTATATGTGTGACCAGATTGTTCGAAATGTATTGCGCTAATATATCACATAGTGCTGATAATCTTCGTCTTCTAATATCATTATCGAAATTTATCAAAGGGACTAATTGTTTTAAGTTAATATATTTACTCTTAACTAATACTGGGTCTGATCCTAACATAAAACTTTATACGTTCACTAAGTTAAATTACAACTATCGCCGTCCACCTAATTAAACTTTGTATTTACATCACTTCCGATAATGTCCAGGCCATCTAAAAGACATATAATCTCTCCTGATGCCCATAGCACCTGCAAAAGATCTAAATCAGTCACTAAAGCGAATAATGTGAAACCCTATCAACACACTGATCAGTCTGCATCCTACTCTGATCTTCCCTCACCCACACTAAACGTGCACCGTTTGCTTGGACAAGACATATCACTACCTTGCATCTCGCTTGTCGATATAAATAAGAGCAGTCACATACCGTTGAATAATATTGTCCGACCGGCCATTTTTTTTAAAAAAAAAAACCCACCCCATAAAAAAAATTTTCCACCCCAAAATTACAATATTTTTCATCCCGTGTTTCGTCCAATGAAATGGCTAGTTTCAAAAATTAGATTTAATTGGTTAGTTATGTCTTGAAAATTGTTATAAATTATCAGTACTTGTCGACGAAGCACAATCTCAATCGTCATTATGGAGCAGAGTAACGTGCCGAGTACAAGCGCTGGTGTTTCTCACGTAACGGAAATGGAGGAAGTCTTTTTGACTACCTTGTTTCTGGTTGCGTTTCCATCGGTTGAAGCGTTAAAGACCACTATCACAAATTTTGAAAGATCGACTTACAGTCATTATGTAGTGAGAGATTCGCATATTGGCAGAGATCAAAAATCCTACATTAAATTTGTGTGTTGGCGAAATGGGCGTATAAGATCTAGCGGTTCGTCACAACGTATTAGACGGAGGAGGTAATTTGGTAAATTGTTTTATAATTTTTTGAACGAAGGGCTTCTATGAACACCCAATGTCCAGCATTTATGTTTTGTAAGATTATAGACGGCTATTGGACTGTTGTACGTGGGAATGTACATCACAATCACGAGTGCAATTCCCTGAGGTACCAGGGTAATTCATGGGTGCGCAGGTTAACGGATGGGGAGTTTGAAACTGTGAGACCGCTGCTGATTTCCGGTACCGCTGCATTCCACATAAAGAATTTTGCTTACCAATCTTATGGCAAATGTCTGACCGCTCAAGATGTCTGCAATATGCGGTACAAAGTGTTCTCACACGCGAACCTTCCTGGTACGGAATTTGCCAATTTATAATGTACACTATAGGTGATTACGGGAAATTGAAAGCTCACATAACATCCTTGGGTGGGCTTTGCGAATACGAATTGGACGATGAGAACTGTCTATCGTATTTCTTCTTCATGACCGCTGAACAAGTGAATTTGGCCGGTCACTTTTGTGACGTAATTGGTTTTGACGGGACGTACAAAACGAATAACGAGAACGTCCATTTATATCAAGTCGTTGCCCTGGATATGAATTTTAAAGCAATACCCATGTGCATTGCCTTTTTAAGTCGCGAAACGTCAACATTAATTTCTGCCTTCCTGCATTTTTTCCAACGGTGTACCAACAGTCGACAACTGGTAGGCATTGTGACCGATGATTCACCTGCAATTGCTGCTGCTATTACGCAGGTGTATCCGGATGCACACCATATTCTGTGTCGCGTACACCTTGTTCGGAATGTGATAAAGAGGGTAAGTGTTTCGTTCATTAACATTAACCCAGTAACCGTTATTGTAGAGGGTGCGATCAGAAATTGTACAACTGTTCTTTCGCCTCATGTTCACTCGAACGGTTGAAAGGTAAATCAAAATCTACATAACATGATTTTGTAGTTTTAACAACGTACTTTCGTTAATCGAAATGTCGGACGGAACGTTTGGCAGATACGTCAGAGACCACCTTCTACCACGGAAACACAAATGGTCCACTGCTTTTCGACCGCCATCCACTCTCTTTGAACTGAGCAATACTAACTTCGTCGAGACCAGTCACCGAGTCTTGAAGATGTATCACCTTAATCGAAAAACACCGGTTCTCAGATCCATTTTCAATGTGCTGCTTCGTACTGGATATTGGATGGAAGCAAGATTACATAAATATTCAATGGATTGTCGGGGGAAAGCCGATATTGGTGAGGAGCCGGAAGTACGTCGACTTCAGGAACGACTGACACCAGTTGCCTGTCAACTACTGAAGCGACACCTTCGCATTCCTATAACGCAGTCTGCATTGACGGAAGATTTATTCACCGCTATGGACGCCACGGGGACGTACTACGTACACGTCGATACTAGCCGGTGCTCGTGTCCATTCTTCATTGAAAACGGATTACCATGCCGTCACATATTGGCTTACTGCACACACAGTAACACCGATGTGAACGTACAGTCAATTTGTGACAGGTGGTTACACTATGATGGTTATCTGACTCATATTGCAGTTGAAAATTATTTCCCAATGCAATTGAGTCAGCCAAGCATGAAGAATGCAGTGATAGCGTTAATCAGGCGAATGTCGGAGGAACAATGCAGTTCACTTCATGACTTCATAGTTCATGGTAGACTACCAACAACGCCAGTAAACTTGCATGTAGAACAGCATTCGTACACCCTTTCAAGAACCTCGACTAACGTAGCAGTGCCGTTTATACAACGAGGAACTGTTGATTTGGATGAAACGCTCAGTAACGATGAGGAGGAAGTAATTTCTATTAACTCCGAAGAGTTAACTGAACGGGACATCGAAAATGAAGAACAGGATGACGAGAATCGACTCTGCGACATCTGTAATCTTGCGCAGCCTCCATGTGAAACCGGTGATGCGGTTGGTTGGGTTTTCTGTAGATGTGAAGCAATGTTTCATACCTTCTGTGCCTACGACCCATCGCCGAACGTACGAGCAGTGCACTGTCCTATCTGTGGCGCCATTACAAACTAATAGTGACGACGTCCGACCGCGAGAACGAGTAAAGGCCCTTTTCAGGGCCACCCACAATTTGATTTCCATTATTTTTTATCTACTACTTTTCCGCGGCAAAGGTCAAGTGATTAAGCACCTATTAATGTCTCATGAATTTAGATATCCCTTAGAGATTAATAATGGAAAAGCGATTGTCGCTCATGTATTCGTAAACTTGTTTCTAACGTTTATTAGATATGAAGGTTAAGAAAACTTAGACAAGATTTTGTCATCTAATAAAGACTAATCTAGTAATTTTATATTTAAAATAATGTGATTACCGTTCATGTTTTAGTAACACATTTGAAATCTATCTAATAATAGTACATTTTGAGTACATTTTAATAGGAATATTTCAATATAGTGAAAATTGTAATTTTGTCGTTAGGTCAATGAATTTATGATGACATTTATTAGTGAATATTATTACAAAGATGAATGTGATTAAAGCTCATAGAGAAGTAACCAAAATTGAGAAAATTAACTTATTTAGGAATAAAATAATGACATTAGAAAACAAGTTGAAACCATCATCGTTGAAATGATTCATGTGATAAAAGGTCATATAGTAAGTGTAAAAAGAAATGCGAATATTAGCTGTTTCATGAATACAAAAAACAAGAATTTCATATTCTTGTTTTATATTAAAAGTTCCTGAAACCAGAACTATGCGTACGTAAGAAGTACGTCTGATCGTAAACTAAGCCTCCATTGTTATTCATAACTACTGATTATATCACCGTATTC